AGAAAATGGTCATTAGTCGTCCCTACGTTACTAGACATAATGTAAAGTGTTCCACTTAGGATTATCAATCTAGTAAGTCAGCTAGTCAATCGGCTATCCGACTACACATCCATCCAGCTACCAAACAAAATAAAATATATTATTAAGCTACATTTCATTTTAACAATGCGCTTAAAAAAAGATAGGAAATGAGAACTTTATAGCACAAGAAAAGACGAGCAAGAAAATAATTCTTCATTTAATAAATTTTTTCTCGCAACATTAAATGATAACAAATTAGGAGAGAAACGAGAAGCTTACCTAAGAGAATTTTAAAGATAAACCGCACACACAGCCACAGTACAGCACAACTGTTATGTTAATTAAATTTTTAATCGTAAATTTTTTTATTAGATCAAAGACTCAACCCTTTAAAATGTAAGCATACGCAGAAAAAAGAGAACAGAGCTCATCTTTGGCATTGTAAATTTTATGCTGATTTAGTGCTGAGCTTGTTGAAATTACTACGGGTAAAGTTTTTTTTTTGAGGTAAGTAAGTACCTCAAGGGGGTAAGAGCTGTTCAGCATGTTGTTTAACAAAAATGTTGGCAAACAAGTTTGTGTAGATGCATAATTAGTGATGGGGATGAAAATTCTGGTGTGATTTTGTAGGTTGTGGATTTTTAAGCATCTGAATGATTTGTTTAGATTGAATTGTGATTGGATTATTTTAATATTAGATGGAAGTTCTACATCTATAGGTAAGATAGGATCTGGTTACATGAATCATAGAAATTGAGATTAAAAGGAGGATTGTTTCAAAGTATTATGAAGTAGAGGGATTAAGGAACCTGACTCTGAAGCTGACCAAATGCAAGCTTTCTCGTGATATCTCTTGATACCGCTAAATGCACCGCTGACGACCGAGCCAAGTGCCAGAATAAGTCCATTAAAGGATAGATCAAAAGCTTTTTTATACAACCTCTAGGAACCTTTAAGAAGGCTGCCCCACATTCAGGATTGGGATGGTGCGGTTTACAACCAATCATTTCCGATATCAACATGTACAATGAAAGCATTATGAAGCATTTGGGTTTGGTTCCAATGACTCAGTTAAAAAATGTCTCATAAACTATCAATTTTATCGAAGCTTTCCATCATGGAGGACAAGATTAAGTATTTTTGGCGAAAAAAGGTGTGTATAGTAGGTCATTGGTAAAATCACTATACTATAGTGCAGTGATGGGCAACCTTTTTTTGTGCTACAGCACCCTTGTAAGTGGCACACCTTATAAGCCACAACCGAAACCGAACGCAACATAAGGTTCTTGGGAATTCTTGATTTTTTACTAGTGTGCCGCAGCACACTGGTTAGCCATTCCTGCTATAGTATAGTGCATTGAATTTCAGTAAGTTGATACCTTTGGATGCCCAATTATATTACAATTTTGAACCCCCTAGCTCTTTAAATCTAGCCACTGTAAACAGCAACTAAGCCTCATAGAAAAAAAAACTATCATCATCCAGAATGTTGCATAAATAAACAATTTAAATCAGCACAAGATAAATCAAAGGAAAAATTAATTTTCTCAAGTTTCCACCCCTACGAACCATGAGAGAGCTTTATGCAGAGAAGAAAATTAAGAATTCACTTTTTTTCATTACATCTATCTAGTTGGTTGAATAATTTAAACATACTGAAATCTCTTAGCTCGTCATAATGGCTTTCATGCGAAATATTTATAATGTTGCGCTTATTTCCGTTTGTAAAAAAAAGGATTTTTATTTTTAAGAGAGAAAAAGAGCACTTTGAGAATAACATAAATCCTCCTGTTAAGCAGGTTTGCTTCCTTCCGTCGCCTGGTTCCGCTCCTTTACACTGAAAAATTTTAATCACGTTTAATGCTCGATTTAAATTTTCTCATAAAAAAAATATATTTTTTAGACTCTCTCGCCTTGGTTGCAACATAAAAGTTTCCACGAAAAGTAAAATTTTATGTAGTTGTGCTTAAAAAATGGCTTTTTAATAATTCATTGAATAATAATTTTCATTCTATTCGTGATCAAAGATTTTCATTCCTTTGCTCTTTTTGTGTGGGTATTTGGAATTATGCAGCATTCGAGGGCACTTTGATTTGATGGCTGGATGACTAGAGATTCTTAGCTAGAGTTCTGAAGCTATTATTGGGTTCATTACTTATAATCGGGTATTTAGCAGGAAGATGGGAACGAAAAGTTTATATTAGTAATTATTAAACTGGTTGGCTAGCTTTATAATGTTTCATGCCTGGCTAGATGCTAGATTACATGCCATAGGGATCGTTTACTAATGACGTCCAAAAGTAACGGTAATTTTTCAAAAAATGAACAATGGACTTCCAGGTATTTCTATTGTTCTTATCTTGCTGGTCCTCTTTGGACGTCATAAGCGAACAGCCCCGTTTCTCAAGAGCTTAATGGCTGTTTGGTTGATCAAACGATTGGCTGATCAACTGATTGAATAGTTTAGATGATCAACTAGTATGTTGACTATTAACTGAATCATTTTATGCTTGGTTGAGTGATTCGCGGACTAAGTGAATCGAAACATCGCTATAAGTCTCGTCCAACAACATAATGACTTTTTAATTTTCTTCCCTATAAAAAAATTTATGCATTTTGCATACTCCAACTATCATAAAGGAACATTATTCATTCGAACAAACATGCACAATATGAGAAATGTTCACAGTCACCCTCAACATTTCTTAATGGTTTCTTGATATCATTTCTAATGCCATTTTTATGTAAACACATAAAGAATGTCAACAAAAAGTAATACCAATATATTATACACATATCGAACAGCACATTGTAGGTAGTCACAATAAAATATGAGAATGCATACATGAAAAATATTTAGGTGAGCCAACGAAAAAAAGAAAGTTTTTATTTTATTTGATTTCTTCTTTCATTTCATTTTCGGCAGTGCGTTTTTTTTTTATCGACGCTGTTGTTGTTGTTAAGCAGAGTTGGTGTTGGGATTTATTATTATCTGCGATCTAAGAATTAGCATAATAAAGATTTATTTGTGGTTTTCATATTGTTTTAATTGTGCTGTAAATTGTTTATGAATATTTTATTTGTTGAGATGAGATTACTAGAAAGTTGTTTGACTTTTTGAATCTAATGTTGATGGAATTTCTCATAATAAAGCTATTACAGCTGCAGAATCATGGACTTGAGGGGGGGGGGGGGGGGGGACAAAAATATTGTATTGAAGATTTTAGGGGGTTGATTTTCAGGAAAATTTAACAAATTTCTCTTGACGAAGGGAGATTTGCCCCCCCCCCCCCAAATACAGCCTTGCACGAGATACTTGCCTAGGCTATTACTACAAAAATTAATACAAAATGTTAATTGACCTGAAAAACTTATAGAGATATAGTTCTGATAGTTCCAATTATACTTTGATCTAAGCACTACTACAAAGAAAAATTGTAAGCAAGTGGGCTCAAAAGAATCCAGCCCTAACCCTCACAAGAAATGAAATTTGACTTTAGAGATGAAATTCTCATAAAACCAACCCCACAACAATCTTGAATTTATTTTTTTGACTTTATTCCTAACATGAAGCTAATTGCAAAAATATCGATTGCAGCTACTGCCTTGAATTGCTCTACAAAAAAGCAATATAGTTCAGCAATAAATTTTGATTCTAGTATTTCTATGGATAAACGGCACTAGCATCTAAAAGAATTGAGCTTCCGTTACACCTTCTAAATGAATGGAATAAAATTGTTGAAATACATAACTGCTGATTATATCAATAGAAGATGATGTTGGCTTTCTTATTGAATGACCACCAAGAGTACAGCTGTTATAGCTCACTTTTTATACTGTTGTGGGTACTTAGTGTTATGTCTCTTGGCTCCATCTTTGTAGAGTCGTACTGAAGACATAGAATTCCCCCAAAGGACACACATTGAAATGTTTGTCACCTGTTGGCCGGGTTGATAGTACAATTAGAACCAAGCGGGAACTGCTTAGGAACCATATCATGCAATGAGGCTGTCATTTCTACTTGGCTGCAACTTAGTTCTAATTATACTATATAGCCATGAGTGACAGATATAAAAACAGACGGACAGAGAGAACGAAACGACACTATCAATTTTGAATGAATTTCGATGTGTGCCAATCGGGTAAGGCTTAAAGTTAGCCAAAAAATCTGCCTTAGTGTTTTAAAATTTAGACTATTCAAAGGACTTAAAGCAACCTTAAAGCCTCGTGGAAACAGGCTGTTAATAGAGACAGTGATGCATTTGGAATCAGCAATTTGCAGACGGGAGCCAGGGATAGAGCTAGTTTTAGGGGATGACTAAGGGAAGTCATGGATCACAATTGATCTATACGACCAGCGAAGTAAGTAAGTAAGTGAAGCAACCTTCTATATATGCTCCAGATCAATAGGGGCCGTTCACTTATGACGTCCAGGGGGGGGGGGGGTCAGCAAGAAAAGAACAATGGAAATTCCAGGAAATCCATTGTTATTTTTTGAAAAATGACCGTTAATTTTGGACGTCATAAGTGAACGACCCCATACATAAATCACTGCAATCAATTCAAATACAAATGAAATTTAAAAGTATAAATACTCAATAACTAATCTAACCTCAACACTAAATCAACTCTGCAAATTGATAATCGAAAGTCTCTCATCACCACAAAAAAAAAAGATTTTCAATAGCCAAAATAAAAAGAGAACGGCGACCAAAAAAAGAAGTCTCAAAACCCCCTTACCAAACTTTTGCCGATAAGACTCTCAGGTCTTGTCGGTATAACTCATCTCATTATTTGTATTGGTACAGTAAAAAGAAATGTAAATCAACAAGCCGAAGAAAAAAGTAAAGAGCCACACGTGGATGAGACGAAAGAGGTGAAAAGAGTAGACGAAGAAAAAAGAGATAATGAATTAAGAAATAAGAAAAAAAAAGTAAGTTAAAAAGACCAACACACACATTGAATATTGTTTTGGTCGGTATGTCTCACATATTACATCTTTCACGGGCGCTTTTCATTCGTAAACAAGTGTCTGACGAGTGCGAAAGCAAATTAGCGGATCGTGATATCAAAATTAAGTTTTTATTTTTTTTTTTGGTGCTGCAACAAAATAATTTGCAGACTGTGCAATATTGTTGCTGAGTAAAATCTTATGCTTTCGAAGATAAGAACTGACAGTTGTGTTGTCGAGTGACTTTAAAAAAAAGAGAGAACTAATAAACTGTGACTATCGTAGTTGGATATAGAAAAACTAGAAACTAAAATAAGGGAGTTGAATTTGTAGCAGATGCAGTTCATACACTTGAGCGATTTTAAATTGAAAATTTATAGCTAGCAAGAACTGCACATGCAACCCTTATGTGTGTGTAAAAAATAGTAAATTAAAGGCATTGGTGGTAAAATATTGTAATTCAATATGGAATAGAGATAGAGATTATTTGTGGATACACACAATGATGCAATGAATAAGTGTTTCAATTATATGTGAGCATGTACGAGCGAGGAAATTAGTGATATATAAGCTGTAGCATTCCCTACAGAACCACATAGACATACTTCCGATACTTTATTCCTTGTTTATCGAACTGAGATATTGCGAGGAATTCAAATTATTATTTGAGCATGCATACATGTTCAAGATGAGAAGGCATTCTGTATGTTCAGGACATATGAGAGTATAAATTTAGCTAAAGGCAAAAGACAAGAAAAAAATAAAATTTCAGTGATTTTGGCATGCATAGTGAAGCATAATTCAGTGAAAAACTTTTTTTTATATCCGTACGTAAATTCAAGCAACATACAAGAACCGATTGAAGTTCATTCATGGTGAAAAAAAAAATTAAAAAAATATTTTTTTGAAAGTCTAGAGTAGCTTTTGACGTTGTGGGTCTTCAGTGTTTAAAAATTTTGAAAAAAAAATTCTTAAAAAAATCGAAAAAATCTCAATTGCCAAAAAAAAAGACAAAATCAAATAATCCCAATCAGCATCTACAGCAACTATATTTCAATAAATAAGAAGAAGATAGCCTTAGTGTGAGAAATAAGGACGAGTAAAAATTCTAAAGTGCTTGTTTATGCTTGTCGGACGAGATTTGCAAAGGAAAGAATGAGGATTTAAAGGAAATGTTTTTATCTAATTTTCCCGACAGTTAGCATTTTGAGGAGTTTGCACTATCTACATCCACACCGGTCTGCAAGCTCGATTGTGCAATTCGAAAGGATACAAAAAAAAACTCAATTAATTTTTGCAAACGAACTTTTCATGCTGAATTTATCAGCTTGTGAAACTTGTAAAAGCCAAACAAAATAGATTTGTGAATAAAAAAGGATAATATTATTTTGAATGGTCGATTTTAATACCATAACGAGCTTTAACGATTCCAACTTTTATATTTAATATCATATCTCGGACAATTTGTGTATAGTGCTGCATGTGATGTGATGAAGCTCTATCGAAGAATTAATTAATAATATTTTATTTCACATCCAACAAAATAAAAAAAATCTCGAATGACTGTACATTTTAACTCAAACATGGAGATGATAAAGCTTTTAGTGAAAATTATAATCCTATTTATTTTCATCAATTCGCCGGCATTGTGTAAAGTGATATCGAATCATCAGGCTGAATTGGATAGAAAAATTAACGAAGTGAATTATGGTCGGTCGAGTGAGAGGCACTTGAACATGAACTTCACGGATACATCAATCAACCTCACTAATGCCACTTCAGAAATTACTTTAAGTAGATCCGACATCAATTCCTTAACAACGCACATGTGAGTGACAGAATTTTTTCATTAATTTCCACATTTTTTGTGCTTTTTTTTATCCACTTGACATTCCCAACAATTTTCCATCGCTTGCAGGTCCTTAAATTAATTTTCAACTTTTTAAAGCTTTTTTTGGGTGCGGGTAATATTGACACTATGGCTGTCTATCCAAAACTTAAAGGGTTGTTGCTCAAGGAGCTGTCGGTTCCACTGTTTGCAAACAAATGCGCTTTCAAGCTTTAAACTTCTTCCATTCTTATTTCTCACCCTCACCACTCTTCATTTTGGAAGCTTCTTGTGCCTTTTTTATTTGATTAGAAAAAAAAGTTTGATTTTGCAAAAAAAAAACAGCACCGTGTGCTGCACGATCAAGGACACTTTTCGTGACTCCTAAATACAATTCAAAATGAATGTCGTGACGCTCTAGAATATTGTATCATAACATAACGAGCACTTTAGGAGATTATATTTTATGTTCTTAATTTAATTGCGACTCGATAAAATTCTATCATTATTCGCAACTGTAGCGGAGCCGTTGAGAGAGAAAGAGGAGATTGTATAAAAATAGATAGCTAGGTGCGAGAATGTGCTAGCTTTTTTGTCTTGTGAAGTGCAATGAGTTGTGACATTTTGACTGATAGAGTCTGAGAGTGAATGGATGATGGAGTAAATTGGCTTTTTGATGCTTTAAGTGATGAGATTTTTGGAGTGGGGTGAGGTTTAAAGTGAGATTGGAGTTGTTGGCTGTGAATTTTGAAGCTGAATGTTTTATGGATTGATTTGTAATAACTTCAATTGCTAAATTTTGAGATGAAAGTGAATGACATCATTTACAAGCGACTCCCATGGGAAAATCCTCAATGACTCAGTGAAATTCATAACCACAATCATTCAACTTTCATATCCATCCGTTCTACAGAAAATAATCTCCCAATAAGCCATTTCCAATGAATTAATGACAACATCTTAATTACTCACTTGATTTTCTTGTTATTTTTTTATAAATAACTCGTGATCTTTAATAATATTTGTAGCAATTACATTAATAGCTGGTTTTTCTAAGCAAATTGGTATTAAGATATTTCCAAGTCTAGACGCACTGAATAGATTTTCTGAAAATTTTACTCAATTGAGCTGGTTGCCTTGTCGCTGTTAATCAGATAAGATGTTTATGCTTAGTTTTGAATATTTCTTCTTAAATTTGTTTTTATGGTTTCCGAAAGTTTAAGTCACATTGAGAAGTTTTTGTAGTTTTAATTAGAATTCGTGATATTTTAATAATTTTAATCGAGATATAACAGGCTTAAGGAGTCTTGAGCTTTGCAATTCTTATTAGAACTTAGGACTTAAAAATAAATTTTTTCTTCCAAAAGACGTCACATGTTAACGACCCCCTAGCAATTTATTTACGACCATTTAACTGCAAAAAACAAAAAATTTCACTCTCAACAGTAAAAATCTTAAGAAAAACATTCACAAAAATTTTAAAAAGTAGCTCACTGCATAAATTAAACATGATACACCGTTTCATATTTTTTGTGTAAGCCTCCACGAGCTGATAATAGGCTTTTTATGTAAACAGTATTATCTTTCAAAAAATTCCTCAAACCGATTGGCACAAAAATCTCAAAAAGAATTTTAAATGCATTCTAAAGACATTTTGAACACCTTTTATTTATTTAAGGACAATTTTTCGGGCTGCTGAGCCTTCCAAGAAAAAAATCACCGATAAGGAAATTGTTGACATTAATTTCAAATCATCCTTGGAATTAGGGGTATGGACTTAAATCCAAAAGAGTAGCTGTTGACATCAATGCCTTCAATCGGCTTAAAGTAATGACAGATTATCCTCAGGGTCGATCTTTGAGAAATGCGTTAAAGACATTGAAAGCTTAATGACTTGCTGTTTTGTTGGACGATAGAAATTATTATTCAATGATGCTAACAGTTGTCATGGATTCTCGACACTTAAGTTTGGATTTTATAGATCATTTTATCGATTCTAGGAGGTGGTTCATAAATGACGTCAAGCTGAAAAATTAAATACTTAGGTTTACTTATTAAATGGTGCTAAATAGAGTATCAGAAAGCTATGTCCTTCTTTTCCATGTTAAACCTCATTAATGGATGCACCCTTTAAATAAATATTGTTTCTATTTTTTTCAAGGAAAGGAAGAATGTGAGATAGTAGAAATACGTGCCTCAACTTTTCCACTCGAATGACTTTTTATTCTGCAAACTTATTCAATTAGGTAAAATATTCTTGATGATCACTGAATAGCTTTAAATTATCCATAAATAAAGTTTTATAGAAAATGAATTTATTAGCATAATGAGAGTATCTTGTTATTATCAGACTTGCTTATTAAAATGACCATAATGATAATCAAACAATTCCTTGAAAAATAAATTTTTCTCTCGCATTTTTGTAAACATTTGAGATTCACTCGTAGGAAAGCTAATTGAAATTAAATCCTCTGTGGATTTTGGAGGAAGTACTGTAAAATGAGAGAGAAAAGTTTTATCATCGCTGCGCAGTTTGCTGGATTTTCTGCATATCTAGTGAGGTCAAGTTCTAAGGTAAACCCTTAGTCAAATTAGGATACACCAATATACCTGATGAGGTTGAGAAATGCCCGAAATTTAACAACTTAGATGGATCTCAGGATGGCATAAGTCTGGCTTAACTTACTGCCTTGTGGCTTCATAATAATAATTTGTAAAAAATTCAGCCTTTCAGCTGGAGACTCTGCGATTCAATTTTGTAAAGAATCTATTGTACCACACCCTTTAGACCTACAGTTTATAGTGGGTTTTGAACTACTTGCAAGCTCTGCACATTCAAAGACACGAGTACGTCTATAGACCTGATGTACCCTGCAATGTAGCTAGTCACAATTCGTGTGCGCAAGATGCCGTAAGGAAGTCATCCAGATGCTAGTATATACTTGTATACCTAGCAAAGAAGGCACATTCTGTGCAAAAACATCAATACTACACCCAACACATGAACCGAGCTTCGTAACTAGAACGGTAAAATGGAAAAAGACCATCGAAAATTAGACATCGCCTGGGATTGAACCCAGGACCTTTGGCACGAAAGGTCAACACTCTACCATTTAGGTCACTGATGCCATTTTTACCATCCTTATGACTTCAACTTAGTAATGAATATAAGAGATTCATAAAGTCTGGTTTAATTCAATCATTAGAACTAGCTTGCTTTATAATTTTTGAGCTTACCATTGACTTATAATAAAACCTAAAGTTGAAATTTAAACATTACCAGTCGGTTAATCGAACTGAATTCCGATACGAGGCTGACATGACCATGGCATGGTGATGGATTTAAATCGAAGCTAGCACCATGCCAGAGTCATGTCAGCTTGGTTCCGGATTTCAGTTTGATTATCCGATATGTGCCATTCGGGAACACTGAATTATTAATTTTCCTTGAATTTATTTCCCAAATCATCATTTTATTCATTTCCACGGTCTGAATATGTTCACAACTCATCATAATTGCTATCCTATCTTCCCACCCAATTCTTTACTGATTCCATTCAACTTTTTCTTTTCCCGCTAGGAATTTATTTTCCTTTCCGTTTTCACTGTAGCCTCATTCGCTATCGCATTCAATTTCGCTTATTAATTTCTTTTTAATGAGTAAACGACTCAATAGGATAGGAAGAGATAGAAGTTGATTTTCTTCCGGGCCACAATTCCCCACTCAACAAAAGAAATCCGTTTTGCATATTTTAACTCACATTTGTTTCCATTTTCTTGTGGCTTTCTATATTTTTTTTTTTAAAAAAATAGAAATTTACGATAGGAGATGACTTTGGAGAAGTGCCAAATGGCCTTGAAAATGTTTCAATTGCAATTTATTTTCGACGACCGACTTAAAAGCTTTTTTTCTTTTGATTAAATGGCTAAAAGCTCAAGATGCTGATCGCAAATGATGTCCAATATTTAAGGAAGAGTAGAATCTGTGTCATTTTACAGTTCTAGAGAGATTACGTTATAGAATTTTGATTCTTAGTATAACATCACTTGTGAACAACCCCCTAAAAGGCTACTCAAATTTCCGTCAGCTTTTTTTGCCATTCCCTCTAATTACTATTCCATTAATTCGATCGCAAATGCTCCAATTTTGTTTTTAAGGACATTATTTTTTCAACCACTCGAAATTCTTCGTTCGACACTTAAAGTCCTTTAAAATACAATCAATATGTCTCGGCGTTGATGTCATTCCTTACATTAGCAATAATAATAATGAAAGTACCACAATCTGTAGATGTAGAAGAAGAAAAAAAGAAGTCAGCAACGCTTCATTCGTTTAATGGCATTTTAAGATCCTTTTTTTAGCTTCGCTCTTCTTTCTTTTCTTCTCTATTTTCCTTTTATTATCATTTTGATTCATAAAATTTGTAAAAAAAGAAGTAATTTTCCTATTAACTTACTTACATCAGCAATCGTCAATTCTTACTATCCGAACATATTGTTTTTTTTCGTCAGAACAGCAAAAATAAGTTGAGGCGATGGAAAGACGATTCTTGGATGATAAAATTTCCAATCAATCTCATAAAAAGGGTCCATTTTTCACAATACAATAAATGCCTGACTGATTATTGGTGATGCTGTTCGAGAAAAGAAAGGAGGATAAAAAAAATGGCGGTGACATGGGAAAACGTAGACATAAGGAATTAGAAAAAGGAGCATTTTTAGTCTTTATTGTTGGAAATAACGAGTAAACAATCGATAACTTTACATTGATGTTTCTAGGCTGGTTGGAAAGGTTGGATCTTTATTTTTAGGACTGAATATTGACTTACTAATGATTATTGTTGTCATTATCCTTTAAATGTCTGTTTTTTGGGATGTTTTACTGATTTTGAATTGTGGAGTTCATTTTTTAGCGCATTTTTGAAACTTGTTTCTATTAATATCTCACTTTGTCTGTTCGTTCGGGCGGAGAAAAACTTTTTAACTAGACATCGTAGAGA